TGAGATCATAGGTGTACCTTTGCTGAAAACCCAAATGTGTCGTCACTACTGGCTCCAAATGGTTTACGAGGCGAGGATTGTCTCACAAATGGAGTAATTTCTTCTCGCTTGAATCAGTTTCAGCGGCTTCACATTGTGGACCGTATGTTTCATTAGGGTCATCTTCTGAGACGTCAATATTATCCTCAATGACTGTTGGTACGTCCAGCTTGAACCAAATAGCGTCCTCATTCATGATTCCAAAAAACTTACGATTCCAAAAAAACTTACGAATAAAAAATGCCTTCTCACATGTAGACACTTAAATAAATCAGAACTGGGGCAACACAGGGCAACACGTCGCATCAGCCATGAGGATGAGTTTGAATGCATGATGTGCCTGATTTGTTCCATGCATATTTTATGAAGGAATCAGAAAATGGAAATGCACCGAAGTAGACTAAAGCTAGAAATAAGTAGTAGGCATTTGTCTTCAAGCAATTCCCAATTTCCGCACACTATCCAATCTAAAGAACAGGCAAATTAGAGGAAGAAAAAGCTCTTAAACATTCCCATACGACCACCATTTTCCTCCTCAAAATTCCCTCGCGAAACAAATCACTACCACTACAAATCACTCCCTAAAATATTACATATAACAATGAATGTTCCACTTGCGAATCTATGCAGATGGACACTTAGGTTTCATTCGTGCCATGCTAAAGAAGACAAAACCTGATTGTGCCACACGTAACACGCCATGAACTGTAGCGATAACATATGAGTTATCCCATGGCAAAAGGGACAAACGAAGCAAAATTCCAAATCAAATGACCAATCCAACATTGGATGTCGCAATAAAGAATACATCCTAGAGTTCATGAATTCATTGTTTACATCATCTTGGCTGCGATGTCATGCAACTTTTCGAATTCAAGGCAGTGTGGCAATTTCTCTACTTTACATGAAATACACTGTTTTTGATGATTTCTTGAAGGTGCTACTTATGCAAGAGCTGAAAATCTGAGGGTGTGTGGTAAATGATGCGTTCCCTTCAAAAAGAAGTTGGAGGAGCTGGAGTAGTTGAAGTCGCAGGAGGAACTTTAGTATCTGCAGGAGCTGGGGAACTTGAAGCAGCTGGAGTAGTTAAAGGAGCATGAGGAACTCGAGAATCTGCAGTAGCTGGAAGAGCTCCTCCACCTCCAGTGACTTTCGGTTCCTCTGACGGAAGCGGCTCAGAGAGCAATTCAATGTGTTTTGTATTTCTTGGAACTTGAACGAGTTGCATAAGGTTCAAACAGCAATTCTGGACACGTTCTCTGATGCAGTCGTTCAGCGCATTTTCGGGTGGAAAACCAGTAAAGATCAAAGACTGCACATGAGCTTCTACCTCTTTTTTTGTGCCACGTATTCCCAGGATCTTAGCAGCTTGCTCTTGTAGCGATGTCTTCTCATTATCAAGGAGGTGTTCTGCGTGTGTTCCAATGAACCAAATTCGCTCCCAATTATTTCTTTTATTATACTCGAGCCAGCGAAGGATATGTTTTATGTTTTGCAAATGAAGGTCCAGCAAACGTTCAAGGCGGAACACGACAAAGACGGCATGAAGATATTTGAAGCTGTTCCTTGTGCGACTTTCTATGAAGTTTAAAATCATATTTTCATCCTGCCATTCTGTGTCACACAGCCCGACGGTGTCAGCGACGATGATGCCTTTCTCAACACATTTCCCGGCAGTTTTCTCGAAGACTAAGCCTTCACCGCGTATGAAGTACATGTCAAATGTGGCACTATTGCAACCCATGGAGGAGTCACAGACTTCCTGATTGAACAGGACGTTGATCAGGTGCGACTTGCCTGACCCAGTCGGTCCAACGACCAATATATTGTAATTTTCCTCCCTGGATTCCGCATCCAAACAGTAAGAAAATCCCGTGGCGTTGAAATGGTCATCAATAAATGAATACATTTTTGGGGTATATGCTTTGAACGTATGCGGGCGAATATCTGCTGGAAAGGTATTTATCATGGCAGTTGGGATACCATCCCTCCAGGAACGCGCTTTCATTCTTATGCCTCCGTGCAGAGCTTGTTTGCTAAACCAGTGTCCATGGAACACAGTTTGCCACATGCTCGGAATTGCGTAACCACAATGAATAGTTATTCATGCCAAGAACGTGTTCCATGCGAACACGTTTGTTTTCATCCATCTTGCTAGTACGCAATTTTTTGGCGTGATCATATTCATTCTTTAATCTAGTTCTAATGATCACCTTCGCCTGGGAAGTTTTGGTATTGAAAGATCCGAATTCAAGGATGTGTTCATTATCTGTCACATAAAAGTGCTCTAACGAAAAGGGATGATTCATCAAGTTTTTCCATGAGCACATATAAATCTCACTCCCATCTTTGAAGTTCTTCAGATCGTTCAGATTCTGCTGACGCACGTCCTTGTCATAAATCAGTCTGTGATCATCGCGCGTAATTTTCATAGACTTAAGTGACTCCTTCTCGCATGTGCCGCGTTCGTTGGACTTCCCCTTTGCCATGCTCCCTCCAAGATCGTGTAACAGTTTTAAGTCCTTTCGAAGTGAACTGGTAGTAGGCAATATCGCTCAAATAAGTCCTTTCAAAGTGAACTGATAGTAGGCAATATCACTCAAATATGTCCTTTCAAAGTGAACTGGTAGGAGGCAATATCACTCAAATAAGGTGTTACTATCGATTCACCAGGTTTACGCTCTTTGGATGGTGAATCGTGGCTGCTACGTGGCTTCGTTAAGATAACATGCGAAGGGCAAATAAAAGACTGAACAGCTGAGATAAGTTGAGATATGATGCATAGCTTGCAACTCATCGGAAGAAGAAGCCAAGTATTTTTGAGATACTTGCCATTCTTGGTAAAGAATAAAGAAAATAAAAAAAATAATACCGCAGGACATGTCCTACCCTTATCTTCAGATTTTCATCCATCGAACCTCTTTTTTCTATTGATGGTATATTTGAAGAATCTACAATCTTTAAAATGCCAAATGTCGAAAGTATTCATTATTCAATATAGACAACGGTGAGTGGCTGACGCTAATTCTAACCATGTTCAATATGAGATTTTCAAGATGATGAGGGACTGTAACTTGGTACACGAGTAACTGATTACTGATTGCAGAACGATTTCAACTTTGGAGGCACATACCCTGAGGGCACATTTCGTGGAGACTAATTCAGTAAGCCTTGGCCTAACCAATGGACGAACGTTTAGGCCCATGTCATTCTCATGCGCGCTTTCAATGAAATCGCACAGAAAATGAGCTGCTGGTAGGTTGCTAGCTGCAATGAAAGTTTAAATTCGGAAGTAAATCCTTTGGGGCACACTTCGGTGGGGGAGGAATCAGCAGGCTTGGCCCTAGCACACGGCTGAATGATTAGGCTAATATCATTCTCTAACCCTTTCTTCAAGGAAACGGGAAGGAATAATAAATACCTGTTGCATTGCGTACAACACATGAAGATCAACTTTGAAGGTACGTGCCCTTAGAGGACTGTATTAGCACGCACATAACTAACCCTCGGATGAATGTTCAAACCTACACCAAGCTTGACCTTTTCGCATCCAGGAACTTTTTCGCCTATCTGACAAAGTATCTTAATGCATTGGCCTGACGCGCGAGTAATTTTAGCCCGTGCCTTTATCACTAATTCCTTTATCGATTTCCCTTTGGCTAGGTAGAAGGACACTGGTTTATGCTTGGTTCCTAGCTTGTGAGTAAAAAAGGGTTACATGCATTTTTGCATGTAGGGGAACAGACAGGAAGACTTTCCCTCGACATTGTGATTTAGTGTGGCAATGTCCAATCCACTTACCGACGCTTGAACTAGAGCCATTTCTATGCACATGTTTCCCTCAACGAATAAGGAACTTGAAGAGTTATGGGCTGCATTCACGGAAAATTGTGTTTACTCATGGAGAACTGCATATAGCCTTAGGAAGAGATCGAAAAAGTACTTTCTTGGAGTTCTCGGTTCCAAATATAGATCCGAACATAACAATTAAAACACTTGTACTGTCCACAAAGTCAACAAAGAAATTTTGTTTTGAGGTACTAAGGGAAGATGAAAATCGACCCCCTTTGAATCAAATTCGGGCTCAATTATTGTAGAAGGAGGGAGAGCTTTGGAGCGACTTTTTGGCACTCTTAGGTCAAGCACCTGGCTGTGGCGAATGGTCAAAGGACGCGATTTACATGCCTCTCTTGGAAAAAATGTATCTCCCCAACCCTTGGTTGCAGGAACGTCATATTTGCGTCGTTCTCCTCGCCACAGAAGAAGATAAATGATGCGCCGAAAGACCTGTTCGTGTCTCTGCTCCCCGAGACGCCGTGGCGCCATTTGTGAACTTTCGAGCGTCGCGAATTCGCTTCCTCCCTGGTTTATTCGCCGAAGGAACATTGTATCTCGAAAAGTATGCTCCTGTCTTTAGTGACCGTCCCATTCGTGTTCGTGTCAAAGGGCCGCTTTCCCGACGAGGATATGTAATTGCCCCCATCGTTCCGCTTAGCCCCTCCTCTTTTGCGAAATCCTGGCTATGCATCCCTAACTATGCTCCATATGCATCCGTTCTCATTCAACACTCAGTCCGATTGAGAACAGGTCTTCATAGGATTTCATTGGCCCTCCGAAAAATGAGACTCTCGCAACACTACTGGATGAAAGCCCAGGATGCTAAGACAATATGTGACCGAAATCCGGAAAATGATTTTTTAGCGTGCGTCTTGAACGAAGTAGAGCGCTTTGACCGCCAAGTGTAGAGGGCGCCCGAAGCGAATCTACTTTTAGAATTCGAACCTGAGCTGAGAGAGTCGTTCATTTACGGAGGGGTACTGAAAAGTTCGCGACTTTACCCAGACGCAAGAGAGCAAAAGCCGCGCCTCGAGGGATGTAGGGAGGGGAGGTCATCGCTAGAGCGCACACGCCGTGATAGTCCGGTACGACCGTTAGTTTGCTTCCTTCGGCAGTTTGAACTCATGATGGCGGCGTCAAGACCGGAATTCAGCAACGTCGACAAGCGCGTGGTCATGAAGTTCTTGTTCCTGGAAAGGAAACGAGAGCAGGAGATTCACTCTGAGATGCTGGCGACTCTAGAGGAGGACTGCCCTTCCCTCACAATGGTGAATAAATGGGTGGCACGTTTCCGAACCGGCCATTTCGAGGTAACAGATGAGCCACGCTCTCGACGGCCTGTTTCAGCAGCGACAGATGAAAATACTGGTGGAATCCATGACCTGATCCTCGAAGACCGCCGCATTTCCGTCAAGAAGATTGTCGAATTCTTGCAGATTTCCCGGGAAAGGGTTTCCCACGTCATCCGTAACATCCTCGGCATGCGAAAGCTGTCTGCGAAATGGATTCCGAAATTTCTCAATGCAGACGAGAAGCGGAATCGCGTGATCACCTCTCAAGCCATTTTGGCGCGGTTCCACGCTGGTGCTGAAGACTTTGTGGCCAGGTTGGTGACAATGGATGAAACCTGGCTCCACCATTATGATCCCCAGACGAAGGAACGATCCAAAGAATAGCGCCATAGCGGGTCTCCCCAGCCGAAGAAGTTCCGCGTTCAGAAATCGGCCGGAAAAATCATGGCTTCCGTGTTCTGGGACGAGTACGGTGTCATCTTGATAAAGTACCTGCCGAAGGGCCAGGGGATCAACGCCACCTACTACATGTCCCTATTAGATGAATTGGGAGAAGCTCTGAAGGAAAAACGGCAGGGGTGCTCTTTCTGCAAGACAACGCGCCTGCCCACACCACCCACCAAACCACGCAGAAAATTAAGGATTTGGGGTTCGAATTGTTGGACCACCCGGCCTATTCCCCGGACCTCGTCCCCTCGGATTATTATCTCTTCCCAGCGTTGAAGAAACACCTGAAGGAGACGAGATTTGCTTCCGATCAGGAGTCATTGGTGCCGCAGAGATCAGGTTCGCGGACCAACCTAAGGAGTTCTTTTTGCGGGGGTTGCAAAAATTGGAGGAACGTTGTAACAAGTGTGTACAGTTGAGGGGTGACTATGTTGAATAAAATTGATTCATTTTACCAAATTTGCGTTTTCTTCTAGGAAAAGTCGCGAAATTAACTGCTTCCCCTCGTATTAACAAGTATGTTCGAAAAAGAAAAAACAAGCATAGAAAACAGTAAAACGAAGTAAATGGCCATGCCCACGAAGAGGGGAGGGGGAAGAATCAAGTTTTTTTTTTTTTTGGGGGGGGGGGGGCTGGCAGAATTTATTGCTACGTCACTGCTTCTGGTATTACCACCACACTCGCTTATCAAGTGACGAACCCGTCCCCGTCACTCAATATGAACGAGACGGTTCTCTATACGAAGAAGGTAAATATTGCTTTTAGCTAGTACACACATACACAAAGCCAACCTGGGAAGCCGACAAATTGTTATCTATGAGTTGCCATATCATGGGAAACGGAAAAGGTAAAAAATCAACAGTGAGAAAGAAGGGGAACCTTATCTGGAGGAAGTCGTACAAATACTTTTTTTTGCCGTACATTTTGCTTCCGAAAAACCTGAAAACGAAGAAAGCTGAAAGCCGGTAAATAGATTCTTGTCCAGATGAGGACACCAGGAAACACCCTATTTTCACGACACATGTCGTGTGGCAATGGTTCTCAACCGGTGGGTCGTGACCCATGACTGTATCGCGAGGTAATGAAATGACCTTAAAATAAAATATAGAAAAAATTAAAGAGACAGCTTTGAGAGGACAAAGATCAATCATGCTGCCAAAAAAATACCGTGCCAGCTTAAATGAACTTAACTTTCTAGGAATGGACTGATTTCAATAGCAGGACCGGAAGTTATATATATATGGTGAACTTATGTTGCCGGAACGTTGATTGAGAACGTTGCCTCAATTTTATGAAAGTCCATAATTTCAACGTTGCTCGAATGTTGCAGATCAACATAAAAGCAATATTTATTTCACCATTATCTCAATTGCATGTATCACCTGATTTGCAGAATGTCACACAAACCCCAACAAATGGAATAACAGGTTTTCATGCATATTCACAGAAATAATCCAAAACAAGCCTTGAGTATCCCCATCACTGGAATTTCTTCCTGACAGTCACCTGAAAAACAAAATGAACTGCGATATTAAGTCCTATCTCCAAAAGGAAAGGAAAAATTCATGTTCATGGATAGAGTCATACCTAAATGAGAGCCACACACTTATTGCAAGTCATCCTTCGGCATATTCTTAATCCACAAAATATTCATCTATTGCCTTTAGTCAATGACTAAATGACTTTAATGACTGAATGAGGTGCAATATCATATTTTTTTAGGTAGTGTGAATATCATGATTGCTTTCTCAAAGTTTTAAACACCAGCAATTGATTTCTTGTCTTGAACAAATTCTCAGTATTTTTGGTGTGGGAGAATTGCATGATTTGGCAAGGTCATGAATGTAGAGGAAAATATATGCCATAATAATAGCAGACTTCTTTTGTTTTCTAAGTCAATATTATCGTCATTTCACTATAATGTGCTACTCTACAGCTTTTCAGCATTTTTTTTCCAAGCTAAATCAATCCTTATTTAAATTCAGGTAAATTTTACTTCTGAGTTGAATTATTGCTAAATAGGGATGGCCTGGGGATTAAAACACATCTTGTGGAACAATTGTCCAGAGGTTGCTGGGCACTTTTAAATGTAAAGGCAAGTAACTTTCTGCATGCCTGGCATTAGGCATAACAGTCGCAGCTTCAGTGCTCATGTATCATTCTTTACTTTCTTCCTCTATTTTCTTCAATTCAGAAGTTTGCTGTTTGAATTGAAAAAAGATCCAAGCATGAGAATCAAACTGAGGTGTAAAAGCAGCTACAGTTAAATTATTTTTCAGTTTTCCACTGAAGGAATCCATGTGAAAATTTCATATTCTTTCAGAAATTACATGGAAGCAAATTTGTAGCACTTTCAGCATAAATTAAGACAGACATGGCCATACATTGGAATCCAAATTTGCAGATACATGAAAAGGATATATGGGGTTTTACACAAGTAATAAATATTCATGTACGGATTGATGCAAATCCACCATTTATATTTCATATCTTTGATCATACAGTAGCACCATGTATTGCCCATTCATGCCATGTCATATCTTACCTGTATAAAAAGAAGTCACGTTTGTCAATGAGTGAGAATACATAAATCCGTTGAGGGTTCACAATCCATCAAATATAATTCATTCATGTGCCAGCAGCCATATCATAATTATTTCTAGTAAATAAGTCATTTTCATTTGTTGAGAGACGTAAGATAGCCCAAGGAGACTCCCGGCAATTCTTGCACATTGTATGGTGGGAGTGTGGTTCCCCTTGTCTAGTGCGCCTGCTCCTTCCTCATAGGAACCATGTCGCCTATGGGGATGGAGGGAACATTGTCTTGTTTGGGAGATAAGGACGGGAAGTGGAGAGCTTCGGCTCAATAGTACTTCACAATAATACTTCACTTTCCATCCGAAACACTCCACTCCTAGATCCTCCAAGGGACGCGAGAGGATGATATTGTCAATATGCAGAAAATGATCCTTCCCCACACCATGAATATTCATGCGCATGCAAATTATGCTCCATAGTTCCCTGGGGATTACTATCGCTGCACCCCTCAATGGTCATCTAAAAGCATTCTCCAAGGGAATCTCCAATGGAATCAGTGATACGGATATCCAAGGATCTTCCTTGGACGAGACATTCAGTCATGCAGGGGATGTCCCAGGAGGATATAAATTGGATGTCCAAGTGTCCATGAGGGTATGACCAATGGATTTATTTCGGATCAAAATGGCTACTTGGGTTCTCATCTCAAGTTTATCTCTTTTAAACTGATTCCCATAGGCGACTATTGTGAAATCAGATTAGTTTAGCTTAAACGGATCCGGTGCATGTCGCCCATAATCTCAAAGTAAAAAGAGGTGTTAGATATGTCATGGGGACCGTAGACATAGAAGGTTGGATGGCTAGATAGGACGAAAGAAAGCCAAGAGACGGCTTGGAGTCGAACCAGGGCCTCCAGCTTGCTGGTTAGGTGTGCTACCATTACAACATCGAACCTGAGATATTTCGTCGTGTCTCTCTATGCCATCCTAATTATCGCATTTACAAGGCTAGAGCTTGTAGATTCATTTTGTTGTTTTAGGAACAATTGAGTTGAAAAATACCAAACAAGGTATATTCCAGCTGCTTGCATGCACATAGATTTCAATCACTAGACAAATGGTAAAAAATTTAGCATAGGTGAGTTCAATTTGTAATGGTGCACGTTAGCAAGAACCTACTGCAGGTCCATATCATATACCATTTTCCACATACCATGTCATGAACATAAGTTGTTTGATTAAATATAGACAGTCGCCCAAAATAGTGCCATAAAATGGATCTTTCCGCGCATGAGGAGAATGGGGTTTCAGGATTGCTTGCATGATTTGTCTTCCTCGACGTAATAAATGCCATTTTTTATGGCAGTTCTCATTGCAGTAATCAATACATCATAGAAGAGTACTACTGTGGTACATCGTAGCAGAGCAGCAGAATCGATACCAAGCAGAATACTACGATGGGAACTGCATAAAAAGCGGTATTCATAACCTCAAGGGAGATAAATAATTCAAGCTGTCCTAAATATCCATCCTCCTCGTGCGTGGAATGATCCATTTTATGAGATTTTATTGATTTCCCAACCCAATTCCGGCCCCAGGGCATCATCCAGGTGTTTCTCTGTGGATAATTTTGTGCCACAATATTGGAAAATGTTTTCTTGGCCAAAAAAAATACTGAAAATTTATCTGAAAAAAAAACATGCTAAATGCTTGTGAGGGCTCCGAGGGACAAAAATAAAAAAGGACTCTGACAGCCATGAGCATTCACAACGCACACGCAATTTCAGTCACCATATTTTCTATGTGGCAATATTCCCTTATTGGTGAGCTAACCAATTCAGCCAAGAACGTCTGGTCAAGGTTGAGAGGGAGGGTTGATTTTTCAGCGTGGCTATGTTGCCACAACGGTGGGTAAAAGGGGGATTCAATGCTGCCGCAATGTTTTAATGAAACAACTGATCCCCAATGATTACTCTGAGTGTTGTTACTCCACGGAAGGGTCCATCTGAGGTTGTAGCTTATTTAACTGGATCAAATTTCGAGTTTAGTATTCCAACAACGCAATTGATTCTGTCCAGCAAGGGAGTTACTTGCTTGGCATCACCCCCTACATCATCACATAGCACTGCACGGGTGATAATTGATGGACTTATTCATTATTAATGGGTTTAACTTTCTTCCAGCTAGGAAGAAAGTTAAACACACCCTTGCCTGCCGGTCAACGTACCGCCATTCCCGAAAGAGACACGAAAGAGATATCAAAGTCCGAGTCATTTGTTGCGCTCTGAAGTGAGGCGGGCACAATTACCATGTGTCTTCGGTCCCTCTGTCCCAAAGTACCCGAAGTCTCCTGCCGGGCTACCTCCTTCATAGGGACTATCTAGGAATTCCAAAGCCTTCTCTCAAGTTGTACGTGGGACATCTCGCGTACAGTAAGAAACACCAGGCATTAGGGTTAGGAATGCAAAATTACCGATTAGGCGTCATCTCGCGCCAATAGCTGGAATCTATTTTCCGTCGAGATGATGTGGATATCTCCATTTCGAAAAAATATTGAGACCATGACGAAAGAAAATGCGAGAAACGAATTTGTACCTAATAACTTCTAAATGACTTCGACAATCCATGTGCAGTCTCAATGCGTTGAAGAATCGGTACATTACGAAAGGTCAGCATTTAACTGATTTCGTCCTATTCTTCCTTAAATTCTCAAATCCAACCACGTCTCAATATTTCAACATTTTGTCAGTGTTAGCCCAAAGTCAACAATGGATTTTTGAAATAGTATGACTCTCACGCGCGATTCGCTTCCTCCTACGATCATCGGCGCGAGGGTATGTTCCAGTTGTTTCTGTCGACATTTTCGTGGCATGACAAATGAACTATTTACCTCATGAAAAACACTTCAAAATTTAGGTTAAAAATGCTAATATTTCCGTAAAAGGCCATACAGACCAAACTAATACGCTCTCAGGCAGATATGAACATGCACAACATACACCTTACACTTGACAATCTTTCCACACCGATGTGTAAAAGATAGATTCAATATTTCTGCAATGTTGAAATGAAGCACAGTAAATATTAAAAATACCCAGGAGAAAATGCTCCTTAGAATTTCTATAGGAAAAATGCTATAAAAATTCTATAGAATTTCTATACAGAGTGCCTATAGAGATTCCATAAAGAATTTGTAGAAAAATCTACCATATTTCAATAGAATAATTCTATAGAAATTCCATAGAATCTCTATAGATAGTTCTATAGAAAGTTCTATAGAATTTCTTTAGAACCTTTATACAAAGTGCCTATAGAGATTCTATAGAGTCTTGGTTTTTTTTTAAATCAAAATCATTACTTCTATGATTCTATGTGTGCCTAACTTGAAATCCTTTCTTGTGTTCCTTTTTGTAAGGGTGGAGAATGCATTTTGAAATACTTCCCTCCTATAATCTACGCTAAGGAGACAAATTTCAAAAGTAGGATTTTTCCTGCACTCAGCCATCAAACATGTACTTTCGAGGGAAGTTTAAATTTTCGGTCTCTGTTGGATAAAAAAAAATATTCAGGAAAATGGGACTGAAAAAAGTGCCCTGATGGATTTTAACGAAATAATTTTTTATTTTGAAATGTGTACTCAGGAACTCCATGGCATCCAGTTTCAGCCTTATACATTTCCCCTTTTTCCTGGCGGAAAAAAATAATTTGGAAAAAGCAACCAATCCAAAAGCTGTGCTCTGGGGAGGCGCACAACAAAATTGGAATTTTTTCTTAAATCAACATGGCAGACAGTGCACATGTTATTGACTAGGTATATGAATGAAATTCAGACTTACTCAGAAGAGATTGAAGATGAGATTGATCCGGAGGCAGATGAGCTTCATTTCCCAACTGGGCATGACAAGACTTGCATGCCAAAGGCTTCACTTCAAGTATTCCATGGAGAAAAGTTTCACTGGGAGGCAATGGAACAACCTAACACCAGACCCATTTGCCATTATCATGACACTGTTCAAAGTTCTCTTTGATAACATCACACCTCTCCCAATGTCAACAAGCTTCCCAGGTATCTTACTTAAGCTGAGTTAGGTTGAAGCTGTAATATAAGTTCCTCCCAATTTCTCATATTGAAAACCAGTATTGACTCCTTGAAGGTCACTTAATGAAAGCATCGTTGCTTGAGGAATTTGTCCATTTTGCTCTCACTTCTGAAGAGTTCATAAGAGTTCAGTTCAGGGTACATTAACAAATGGATAGATGCAGTTCCCTCTAAATTGGTATGTATTAGCGTTCCTATTTCTAAATCTTCCAATGCTGGGCCTTGGCCAATTCAGCTCAGTGTGAATAAACTATATTTCTCTGTCTAAAAAGACAGTTGTTGCAGGTCTCTGGTTAGATACTGAAAAGCCATATCACTCTGAATCCTTGCTTCATTTCCATGGAGAGCTTCTAGGCTATCCTCAGAAGGATTCAAGAGGAACTTTGAAAGAGCAGAGACCATATATTGAGTCTTTTTCATCATCTGCTTTTGGAATGCATATGCAAGGGCATCTTCTCAGAATATGAAGTCACATTCAGGGACATTCTCATTTAGGTGGAAGAGCATATACGCAAGCCAATTTGGGATCACTCATCATTTCTGTTCATGAGAAAGTAGAATTGGAGTCAGACAACAGTGACTCTGGCTCTCTCCAAACTTGGCAATCCTATCATAGCTGATACAGGAAACTAGAGATTCTCTGGAATAGACCTAATAACACCATCTTTAGAGTTCCATGCCCAACATTAGGGCTTGGTCTAATGAAGTAACAAATCGCAGGGGTATCACTCATTGTCACTGTCATTGGTGAAGACGGTCTATTGAAGGAGGAAGAGTATATGAGGATTAGCTTTCTTTTCAGTCTTAAGCTTAAAACTTTTAGGTCCTTATGGCTATTGACTCAGGCCTATGAGCAAGAAATGCTTGCGGTTGTAGCAGATACGATAAAGGTAGGGCCTATAAAGCCTAGGGCTAGCAACTGAAATCACGTGTGAGGTTCAACCTGTCAGCGTTGCACCTATAGTCACTGTAACACGTCAGTAAAACTTGAATCAAATTCACCGCCGCTAAGTACACTTCCACACCACACGGTTCTTCTCCATGTATCACCAAGCGAGACACTAGATGGCAGTGATGGAGGTAGCCCGCTACACCGTGACACCGTATTATGCACAAAAAAGTTTCGGGATAATAGCAGTACTATAAAATATTTATGGGTTAAAAGTTATTGAAACTCGGACATACGTTGTATACCACAGAGGATATGACGTTGATGCATAAACAGTTGTCCAATATAGCAGGTTTTTTTCGATAAGCGAATATTCGGATTCTAATGTCAGTAGATATGTATATTCTAGAGTTCATAAATTCCTCTATACAGACCTCTAGGATATATTTTAATCAACTCCTGCAACTATGAAAATTAGAGATTTAGGGTAAATCCCCATAGGTCGAAATGGGTCACCATGGGTCGAAATGGGCCGCCATGGGTTGCAATGGGTCGACATGGGCCACCATGGGTTGCAATGGGTCACCATGGGTCACTCATTACCACTCTGGGTCAAATGTGGTCTTTTTCAATTTTTGTAAAACTATCACGCACCTGACAATTACACCCAAATTGGGTCAATTGGGCCACACCTCTAGGATAAATTTTAGTCAACTCCTGCAATTATGAAAATTAGAGATTCAGGGTAAATCCCCATAGGTCGAAATGGGTCACCATGGGTCAAAATGGGTCGCCATAGGTCGAAATGGGTCGACATGGGTCACCATGGGTTGCAATGGGTCGCCATGGGTCACTCAGTATCATTCTGGGCTACTTGGATCAGACTTCGAGATTAAGAGAACAAAAGAGTTTCTGGATCAACTAAGATTAGCTTGTTTTTTTCAGACAATCTTGTCTGGAAAGTATCCCCATGTTATTTCCCTATGATTCCTGCAGAGTTAATGTCGTGACAATTGCTTCACTAATTAGGGGATATATGTATAAGTTAAAAGTTGAGGGAACTTGGTCAAACGTTGTATAATAATGAGGATATTACGTTGATACATAAACAGCATCCCTATATATCCGAAATTTATGTGTCCTATGGACCTCTATTCGGATTCTATACAGTCACTACATAGAGGCTTATAGATTCTATAGAGTCTATAAACTCCTCTATACAGTTCTATAGATTTGTATACAACTTTTTCTCTTGGGTAGGATCATGTGTCACGTTGTGCCAATCGTGTCACTTGTCAGGGTATGGGCATTACCTTCTTTTTCTGAGCCTATACGGGCGCTAATGTTCATTAGAACGTGAAATCACTCTAATAAGTGCAATTATACTACGGAAGGGTCCATCCAAGTTAGATCAGAACTGAAGCTTAGTACTTGAATGATGCAACCCATTCCCTCAATACTGTCCCAACGTTTCAACTTTTTGTCAATGTTGACATAACGTTGTTGGGAGGAATGAGTTGAACATCTGCTGTATATCTTTGCTGCTCTGAGGGGTGGGGGGGTCCCTCTGCTGACATCAGCCAAAATTTCGCCACTGCTGGAGTGATTCGGTGTTAATAGAGCAAGAAGTATGCCTTCTTTCATTCCTTCAGAGACTCTCAGAGAGGAATACGAGGAAGTTGCCCTTTTGTTTAATAGGAATGGGCTGAGGAGAGGAAATTGTTTATTGATCTGAAATATGATACCTCGCTCTCACATATTTTACCGTGGTATTGGTATCCCCATGAATATTATAATTTTATGGTGATGTCTTCCCATTGCCGGTTAATTGCCAACATGTGGATAGCAACGTCAAGTACATTTCCGTCTTCTCTCAAAATATCGCAAGGAAATGTCTAAATTTATTTGCTAATTTAAACGGACACGCGAAAGTTCTTAGTCTCATACCATGCTTTCAGCATGAATAAGGAGCGCTGGTTCCGCGATAGGGCATCATCGGCCGAGAAAGTCCCAGCAGAGACTTCTTGCGAGATGGAGAAACTGGGGGCAAGGTCCCGTTCCAAAGAAATTACAGCCTATTTGAAGTTTTTCTTGAGGGGGTGAGGGTGGTAAACGGAAATTTACCACCAATCCAGAGGTTTCTCATGGAAATTCTCGCTCATACATTACTTTCATGCCATGACAGTACGACCTGACTTGCTCAAGAGAAAAATTTTAAGGGAAAACCCCCCCCCCCCCCCCCCCCCCCCAAAAATAAAAAAATAATAATAAAATTGACCACTGGGTGCCGTACCCCAATTTAAAAAAAAATCTTTAATTCAATACCCACACAGTTGTCCATGTACCAAGTTTTAGCTTTATATAAAGGCTCGATTTGTTGAAGATAAAATGTCTTCCAAAACTTTACAACAAAAAAATTGCCTCCTGACTAGGAATGCCAAAGGAATGATAAATTAGACCACGGAGGACTACATGCATGCCAAAATTCAGCTTCCCATCACATATCGTCATTCCATGCTGCTAAAATATTTTTTTTGGGAAAACTTCCACCATAAAAAATTAGCACCTAGAGGATATACCCCGGAAGAAAGTTTTAATAACCTTCTCCTTCAAATATATTAATAACATCAAAACCCTAACCTGAATTTCAAGGTTTCTTTTTTACTTTTGAGAAAATGGGTGAGACCAGTTCCATCAATTCTTCCTCATTCCAAATGAGGCATTAATTTCATAGCTTGTTCTGCTTGTCAAATTGCATGACAAGAAGATTTGATATGATTAATCCCAATGAATTATATTAGGCTTGGGAAAATGGTATATGATATGGACCTGCAGTAGGTGCTTGCTAACGTGCACCATTACAAATTGAACTCACCTATGCTAAATTTTTTACCATTTGTCTAGTGATTGAAATCTATGTGCATGCAAGCAGCTGGAATATACCTTGTTTGGTATTTTTCAACTCAATTGTTCCTAAAACAAAAAAATGAATCTACAAGCTCTAGCCTTGTAAATGCGATAATTAGGATGGCATAGAGAGACACGACGGAATATCTCAGCAAGCTGGAGGCCCTGGTTCGACTCCAAGCCGTCTCTTGGCTTTCTTTCGTCCTATCTACCCATCCAACCTTCTATGTCTACGGTCCCCATGAAATATCTAACACCTCTTTTTACTTTGAGATTATGGGCGACATGCACCGGATCCGCTAAACTAAATCTAAATCATGCTAAACTAATCTGATTTCACAATAGTCCCCTATGGGAATCAGTTTAAGAGAGATAAACTTGAGATGAGAACCCAAGTAACCATTTTGATCCGAAATAAATAAATTTTTATTTCATGAAGTTTGTCCAACGTTAACATTTTCTTATGTTATTTCCTTCATTTCTGATATATTCTCTAACTTAAAGTTTCCGTAATTACCACATTTTCCTCGTCGAATGAATTGGAAAAACGACCCACCGAAAAGCTGCGCTCTGAGGAGACGCACAACATAAGTTGAAAATTTCCTTAAATCAACATCACGTTCATTATGCGTGCGCCAGATATTTCTTTATTTTTGCCTGATTCGGTAGGATATGACAAATTCTTTGAAAACGTTACGTCCCCTAGAAATATGAACCCTAAAATTATTTTGGAAATTTGACGTTTGACATTTGAGCTCGGTGCTTCAGCAGTCACGTTCTTGCAAATTTTGAGCTTTCCATGTGTCTCCGTATGAAGCAAAGAGAACTATTTAAAAATATATTCCCCCGAAATGGTCTGCCCCGATGGCATGTATCACAAAATTAGAGTTTTTCCTGAGCTCAGCATGCGAATCGCTACTTATGTCAGTCAGTCGGCTACTCACGATCGTCTATATATAATAAACGTATAATTTTTTCTTTACCCAGGTATCCATAAGTTACTTCTTTCCCAAGTTTAAACTTTCTAACGCCCCTTGCCCAATTCGCCACAACCAATTTTTTTCGAAACATCTCCCCTCGAAAAAATTCCCCCAGGGGATATATCGAGACTTAATATTTTTTATTTTAACTCCTTGCCACAGGAGTCACATTCGCGGAAAGTTTCAACTTTTCATTTTCATCAGTTTAACTGATGTGAAATAATTAGTTGAAAACATATCCCTTTGAAATTTGTGCCCCTAGGGCATTTACTTCCAAGGCCTGAATTTTTTTGCAGCATTCCAATTGGTAGTCATGTACCAAGTTTCACCTTTCCACACTAGCTCAATACGCCAGGACAAAAAGATACTTGAAAACCTCCGCCCCCAAAAATATCTCCCCCAGGGCATGGACCTAAAATTTTGCATTTTTCCTGAACTTATCGTCTCAGTAGGCACGTCCAGGCCAGGTTTCAGCTTTCCATGTCTCTGTTTTACTCAAGCAAAAATAAAGTTATTGAGGAAGAATGAGTAACTGGACAGGGAAGGCAAAATAAGCCCAATGAATGCCATAGCTGTGGCCGGGAATTGAACGCGGACATCCTACTTGAGGGTCAGATGTGCTACCATTACACCACCGAACCCGATACATTCAGTCGACCCACTGAATGTTATCATCATCCGTCGCAATACACTGGCCTCCAAAAATGAGTCAATGTTCCGTAAATTTCTATTCAAAGTCGAATATCTCTGGCAATATTCACTCGAATCTCACAAAATTTTAATATGTTAATATGGATCCTCTTTTACATAAAATTAAAAAAATTCACCATGATCGATCAGTTCGCGGCCAGTATGCATGTCTTCATAGTCGCCGGGGGGTGAGTCAATATTTTGGCGATTATTGGTGTTTGCGAAAAAAAGGCGAAATTCTTTCGATTTCTCAGTCAACTGCAGCTCGGTACATCAAGAAATATCGTACCAATGCACCCTTTGCTTCAAGAGGCCGTCCTCGTGTCCTGGACAAGCAGGACGAAAAGTACATCTGCAGACTGGCCACTACAGGAAAGTGTTCCACCGCCACCACCATCCAACGCGAGCTCAAGATCTATGCAGGAATAGCCGTCTCTGCCAACACGATCCTGCGCATTTTGAGACGAAACCAAATCAAGTCGCGACACAAGCAAAAGCGCCCACAACTGCTGAGATCTCATCGGAATGCTCGGATGTCGTTTGAACGAGCCCATCGCTCATGGACAGAAACCGACTGGGACAAGGTCATCTGGTCTGATGAAACAAAAATATGCCTTTCTGCATCGGATGGCAGAGAAAGAACCTTTCGAAAAGATGGCGAACCACTCCGGGATCACCAGGTCATGCCGACAAGAAAGTTTGGTGGCGGCTCGATCATGGTGTGGGGCTGCATGCTCTCCTGTGGCGTGGGATATCTCTGTCGCATCGATGGTGGCGTCGATGCTGACATGTACACCCACATTCTGGAAGATGAGCTCATGGAAACAATATGTTGGTACGGCCTTTGGTGTGGGGCTGCATTCTCTCCTGTGGCGTGGGATATCTCTGTCGCATCGATGGTGGCGTCGATGCTGACATGTACACCCACATTCTGGAAGATGAGCTCATGGAAACAATATGTTGGTACGGCCTCAAAAAAGACGAGATTGTCTTCCAACAAGACAACGCCTCCTGCCACACTGCATCTCGTGTAAAAGAATGGTTCCAGAAAAACAAAATCAAGGTGATGACATGGCCAGCGCAATCTCCGAACCTCAATCCTATAGAGCATTTGTGGGATCATATCAAGCGCAAGCTCAGAAACTTGCCTCCTGCTGGAAATACCGCTCAACTTTGGGACCAAGTTCAAGACATCTGGAATTCCATTGACCGTGAAACATGCCTTTGTCTGGTGAGATCGATGCCCAAACGTCTTGAAGCCGTCAGAAAGGCGAAGGGTGGCAGCACAAAATTTTAGTTTGTGGAATCATTGAAATTCTCCAAAATTTTGACTCATCCCACTTTGACTTTGGATGGAGATATTTTTGTCAGAAAATCATTGATTTCCATGTTTCTTTTTTAAATTAAAGCTATACAATAGGACTACAATTGACATGAATTGCAATTGATTCGGTTGAATATTGAAAGAGATATTTTGGGTTAAACACGAAAACCCGACCCATTGACTCACTTTTGGAGGCCAGTGTATTCAGGAGGATTAATGCCTCTCATAACTGATCACTGCAGCATTGTAGCAAAATTTTCCAGCATGAATTCTAAATTTCTGTGCCCTACAACAGCGAAAGGCATCCCCCCAAACCTTTTAGTTTTCTCCAACATATTCAAAGATGAAGAGTAGAGCTTCGACACAAAGTGAGAAGAAGTGCTTGAGCGCTGCGATAGGCTGGCAAGTTTGATGCCGAAAGAAACAACCGAAATGCTTGGGATCACTCAATCGCAAATTCACTGTCTGATATACTGATCAGCAGTTCGTAGTGATCAGTTTGGGCCTTACTCAAAGGGATCATGAAAAGCTGCAGCGAATGCATGAAAAAATTTTAGTTTATCACTAAGATTGCATAATGGCAATTTTGCCGAAATAGCCTGACAAAACAGTAGATAAAAAAATAGCAAGTTTAATTCATGTTCATGGCTTTTCCAGGTACTTCGTGAGCAATATCATCCAGTTTCAATTCCACCAAGCCCTATGCACAGCAGCAGGGGAATATGACCCGAAAAATCCTCTGGCGAAACCCCTTCATCAATGCGACATCTATCAAAACAAGGAAGCCGGGAAGCTCCTCAAGTCAGTCTTGTCTTTCGCCTCCACACAGACAATTACAGAATACAATCAAAGACATGGCGATCTAATATCTCGCGGGTGTACAGGGACTGTTTTTGCAAGCGGATTTAGGCCAAGGAAAATAATATATTCGAGGGTTGTTCTATAAGTTTCCACACTACTCCGCAACTATTTTACATTATTTATTATTTCGAAAATAATAATAGGATCGTCATGAAAGTGACCATGAGTGATGTGCATGGTTCTTCATGGTAATTTAAATCTTCATGGTAATTTAAATCGTCGTCAATGCATTTCTGACATCTGGTGGGTAAAGAATGTATCTCCTTCTGGAAGAAGTCTGTCGGTTGTTGTCGGAGCCAAGTTGTGGCGGCTTCTTTGAGGTCTGTCAGTGGTGAAATGAATTTCCCGTAAGTGATCCTTCAGCCGACCGAACAAGTGGTAGTCAGATGGTGCCAAGTTGAGGTTGTAAGCAGGGAGTTGCCCGACGGTCCACGTGAAAGCTGCAAGTTTTTGTCTGGTGGTGAAGCAGTTATTAGAGTGCTCTTTCTCGAACCAAAATACAATGTGGAACTCAAATAGTGTTCACAGCTTCTCGTAACATTTAAAATTCGTGCATGGCACGAAAAGAGATCGGCTTGCACTTGAGGGGTGACGACAACACCCACCAGCTTTAAACACGTGCATGAGGTAAATGTCATTCACTGCCGTTTGTTGAGAAGCGCGGTCTCCACTCAACCTCATACCCAATTTTCTCCTGCCACAATCGAACTTGCAACGCAGAAGACGGCCCCCATATTGGACCCAATTTTATTTTCATTCCGATTTCTTTTACATTCCCTGGCTGCCTCCAAAGAAACAGATGATCGTGTTGAAATATGTCACATTTGAGTTGTGTCCAGATATGAAAAAATACTCTCCAGGAAATGATGAGAAAAAAATGAAAACGCAGAACGCGCTGTAACGTGGTGTAACATGGCTTGCTTCCCTTTCCTTTTCATCTACTTGAATATTTCCTTGCGTCCTGAGCTTTATTACTGTATAGGTGGATCGTTAAGGAATGAACATTATGCCTGTTGTGTCTGGACCTGCACAGGGAGATGTTGAGGCTGGGGAGTTCGAAGCCGTGGCCTGATGTCATGGCGGTCATCACTGGAGGGAATCGCCGTATGGATGCCTCCGCCCTCAGGGAGTACTTCCAGCCTCTGGAGGACTGGCTGAGGGAGGACAATAAGAGGCATGGTGTCTACATAGGATGGAAATTGGGTAAGAATCCGTCATATTCTGTTTGTTGCATGTCCTTTGTTTTACATTTTGTTGCACTTCACTGACGTTTAGTTGTGAGTGGAGCTTTGCCAACGATAGTACATGTGGAGGTGAAACGGCAAAAACAAAGTCATGTGATATAAATCGAACAGTAAATGAAAAGAAGAAAGTCTTATTACAGTAGGTGTAGGTAGGAAGATTTCATCTCTCTTGTGACTCTGCACAATCATGAGTTGCAATCTAATGGGCTTATTACACTTCAGTGACATGTGATACCTTCACGAAGTTGACTTAGTGATTCATTCCCATTGGAAGTTGGCCCTTAAACGAGGATGATTTCCGTTGATTTTACCATTCTGTGTCCTTTAATTGTGGCTGGAAAGCCTGGTTTGAAGTCATCCAGCGAAGTGATATCGTCTCACAGTGTCTTCATATGAGTTGGAAGCTGTGCGACACGCTTTGATTCGCAGAGAAACACGTGAGAATTTTCACTTTCGCTTAAATTGCATCATGGAAGTGCAGTTCCAAGGTGAAACAAACTTAAATATACAACTCGTATCAACTTCATGATATTTTTTGTCCTTGTACCCTCACAGTTGCATAGGTTCGTCAGAACGTATCTTTCGATTGGGAGCAATTGGTTTACCTCACTAAGTGACGTAACTCAATAGAGTTTCGTCACATTACGTCATTAAAGATTCATTTCTTTAGAATGCATGAGTGTTTAAGTAAAAAAATGCGACTAAATTCTCATAGGTGTTCATCGATCTGTGTTATTGTTCTTCGGATTCGAGATGGAACGCATTGTTCCACGTAGAAACCCGATGAGAGAGCCTCGGAATAGTTAGAAAAACTGCAGTTTTGACCAGATGAGCTGGAGGAGCTCTTATCCGTAGTTAATCAAGTACCAACATTTCCCGTAGTTTTATTAACCTGAGAACTCACTCCTAATCGTGAGAGCTTACAATAAGAATAAAAACCCATTGAATGTTTGTGAATAACGATCGATTTAACGCTGTCGAATTCAAATTAGAACATCGATTGCACGATCGAAAGGATGTTACATGAATTGTCTGAACTGATGCACCTGTATGAGCAGCATCATTATTTGGAAAATAAAGGCTTTTGATGAGGCGACTACAAGCGTGTATGAACACGTTTTCGACAATTCTATCGAGCCATTTGTGTTTTCGCTTTCATGAGAAGTTTTAACATTTTTAAGGTCCTGCTGGAGCCTCGAAAACAACTTTATGACCCCGCAGAATTACATCGCAAATTAAACTACACTAAGGTAAACTGAATTTAGCAGAGAAGACATAGGGAATATCGTTAAGGAAGTACAGTAGATCGATGGAAAATCGTATTATTTGATGTATTACTCTAATCTCATTCACTGTGTAGATGAGGATAATACTGATTTTTTTTTTGACGGGGTAAGTGACTGTCGTTTGTGAAATGGGAGACCCGCACCCCTTTCCCTCCCCCCAAGGACGAGTCAATCAATATTCCAAGAGACGAAATACATTGTACATGGAATGTTTGGCGCGTGGGTACCATGACGGGCGACTGGTGACCGCATGGAATGTGAATTGCATTAACCGAGAGGCATTCAATGCGGTCATCTTTACTGAGGAATAATTGTGGAAAACGTTTTGACTCTCCTCTGCTTTGTGAAATTAAAGAAAACCATTTCTTTGCAGAAGCCGTTCCGTCCGCCTCTGAAGGTATCTCACCCAGAGTCTCGGCCGGTGAGTGAAGCAAATTATAATCGTCGTATTGAGCACAAGATGTTTAACCGCGTGTGGATTATTTTAGGCATAGCCGTGTGTTTGTTCGTGTTGCTCCTCTGCGTGTTAGTCGGTTGGGTCTACAGCCTCTTTCGCGGCTTTAGACCTTCCCGCCTCGGACACGGTGAAACCATCCAGTCCTCATCTAAACCACCTGGCCAGGGCGTCACGTAAGCAACGCATTTGCAATCGCACGCCTCTTACTCGATTGTCACGAATAAAGTAATGTATGTAATATCTATGTTCTAGCTTGGTACGAGACGAACTGCGTTTTCCTCAAGAGGAAGAGAAGCGGAAGGGAGAGGGAGTTCGGCTAAACTCCGTGTGATCGTCAGTGGAATATTATTGCATGTGCGTACCCTCGAATAATATTACAATTTAATATAATATTTTATTGCTCTTACCCAGGATCACTAGAAGGCGTGACCCAGCCATAAAATTTTATGTATATTTGATGAAAATAAACCAGACATCTCTGAACAATAGCGCATGGATATTCTGCAGAGAAATGGAACTTAATTGCGATAGAAATGGAAGACAAATGAGAAAAGGGGTCTTGAGTCTTTTGATGGGATAAATTGTTCAGATTAAGAAACGTAGTCTCCTCTCAGCCAACAGCATGGTATACTGTTCCGTTCCAACATGTGTATCAAAACACATTGGGTGAGTTTGAATTCGGTGTTAGTGTTCCGTGTAATACGAACTCCACCCCATAACACCAAATTTTGAACTCGCCCTCTGGTGTTGGTGGAACACCATGTTTCCCCGGTGTTTCGCGCCGGTGTAAGGCCGGGTTAAACACGAAATGCCATCTCAATCCCAGTTCGGTGTTGGTGGGAAGGGGATTCTCTATACTTAATCATTGGGTGTTACACTAATCCCTAGGGGTTAAGACCAGATCGAGTTCAAAAGCAGTGTTAGCATTGTACGTAACTGGCAGAAGGTAGAGGCGGGAATTGTGCAAAGTTTTTTTTAGAGGCAAAAGGAAAGAGGAGACATAAGGAAACATTGTTTCCACGTTTGTCATCGACAAAAGAATGCAAGACCACTCGGGAGTGACGTAGGATAAGTGGAAATGGTCAACGTATTTGTTTCCAAGCTAAAATTTTTTTCTCCAAAATTCTACACATAACAATCGACGTCATGTAACTCAAACGTTGAGGAGTCACATATTTTCAACACCGAAGCCATGTTGTGGCGTGCCGATTTCACTCGGAAGACCTACAATAGAAGTCCAACCTTTCGCCATTATTAGAGGGTCTAACAATGATGCTACATCTAAGAAGCGTAATCCTAACATTCAGCAATTGAAATCCGCCATGCGATGCGACAGCATCTTATCAACACCGAAGCAATGTTCGCTTCGAACCTGCTTCCAATTTATACGCTGTGAACAGTGGATGAGTTCCTACTAGGCTCTCCATCCACAATATGAAAATTAAGACGGGTCGAAATAACGGTAATCATCATCGTTTGAGGTCCAACTTCCAATGGAATGAATCCTTGGGTGAAAACTCTGCGAAGCAATGCCACTGCAAGACACTGCAGTGGATTACAGTCACGGCATTCGTCATTGGACAAGACTCATTTACACCCACTTTAAAATTAATTCAATATTATAATTTATACCTTCAGCATTACATATCGATTTTAAGCTCCTGATTTCGTGTCTGCCTGTTCACCTCCACAAGTACTGTCGTTAGCAAAGCTCCACTGACCAGTCCAGGACGTCAGTGAACTGGAGACAAAAAAAGAAAAGTAGGGACATGCAAGAAACAGAATATGACCGATTCTTACTAAGTTTCCATCCTACGGCGGCACCATGCTTCTTGTTGTCCTTCCGCAGCCAGTTCTCCAGAGGCTGGAAGTACTCCCTGAGGGCGGAGACATCCATGCGGCGATTACCTTCCGTGATGACCGCCATGACATCAGGCCACGGCTTGGAACTCCCCAGCCTCAACATCTCCCTGCACAGGTGCCGATGCGAAGGATATCATTACATTCCCATCATTTTACATACATCTTACACTCCCATTCATATTCAGCAATTTCAGCAAACGCAAAATATGCATATAAAGACTCATTCTAGTAAATGACAAAGGAAGAGAATTCCCTGGAAACAATACCTATTACTCCGTTTCGGAAAAGCGCATTCTGCTTCAATCTTTTCAGTTTCTTTTTGGTGATTATTTCTTGAAGAACATTTCTTCGAAGTCAAAAGCATAAAAAATATTACTTTCTTGAAAATTTAATTGTGGTGCAATGGCATCAGTTTCACTCATAAGCAACGATAATGATTGAAATGTATCTCAAGTGCGTGCTTCAGGATTTTTGAGCGTGGTCGTTACCCTTCGCATTCAAATGGATCACTTCCCTAGTTATATTTCAAGTGCAGTCCGTAGCTTCGAACAACTGAGACCTACTGGAAGCCTATAATGGCTGAAAAAAAAGTAATCCAATAGCGGTATCAAACTAGGTAGGTCAACCAAGAAAAATCGTATTTTAAATTAATTATAGAAAAGGAATTGCCTTGGATCAAAAGGCAGTCATTTGGATCGTTGGAAGAAGAGCTATATTAGGCTGAATGGAAATTTATTTTACTTTAAGAGAGCAGATATTGGCAAGCTAAATTGATTGGTCTAGGAATTAATCTAGGAATTAGGAGGATTAGACAAACTTCTCAGAAGAGGAGTAGAAGTAAGTCCGTTTCTTGGCGTAAAGCCGTGGATTCCAAAGAAGTCAAAGAGAAAATTAACTTTCGCTGGCGCTTACGACGCTTGACGTCCAATTTTCCATGTTTGAACATATGCCTCGGTGAAAGGGTTCAGTGAGTCAGTCTGGTGTATGAGGAAGATTGTTACTCCTCAAATATAAAAAACGTAGGCGGGATCCATAAAGATGTACTGATAACCAGGGGTGACAAGGGAAATATTAGGCAGTGACTAAATCATCGAAATAGTAAATTGCTTCCAACATCTTGATCATGTGTTTGGTTGACCTTGTAATTTATGGCATTAAATTGCCTTGGCCTCAAAGAACAGCACCGTATAATGAGCTAGAATGACTGTCCCAGCACAAGAAACTAGATGGCCAAATCCTAAAAGATGTTCTGTAATTGTCGATTATATAGATGGAAATAGCAGACTGACTTGAGGAGATCCCCAGCTTTCTTGTTCCTGTAGATGTCGCAATCGTGAAGGGGTTTTGCCAGAGGATTTTTCGGATCATATTCTCCTGCAGCTGTGCACAGGGCTCGGTGGAATTGGAACTGGATGATGTAACTCACGAAGTAACTGGAACGACCCAACAGCACATGAATGAAGTTTATCAGATTGCATTTCACGTTTTATGTCAGATCGCTTAATATGTTTGGTCAGACTTTTCACGCGAAATTGCCATTAAGAAATCTAAGCAATTATGGTGGTAAATGTGATGATAAGGAATGTCGTTTACGACTTTAAGCATCAAATCGACGTGCAAAATTCAAAACATTCACTATGAGCAGATGATCACTATAGGCCTATCAGACAGAATGTTCGTGATTCCAGGACAGTTTGTAATTCCAGTTGTTTTGGTCAAAAATAATCGACAAGGCGATTCTGAAGCCGATGAGGTTGGGGGGATGGTTTCCAGGAAGTGATTCGACTTAATTGTGTCGCTTCACCGATTTGCAAAATAATAGCAGATCCGCCCTCGTTCTTTAGTTTTTCCAGTGACGGTGAGTAGGCAAAGCTCCGAAATCATCTTCTTTCTCCAACTGGGAGGTCCAATTAGGAGCCGATAACTTTACTTAATCCGAAAATGACATTTGATTATCATCAGAAAGCCAAGAGAGGGAGGGAAAATAATGAGAAAGATCATATATGCCACCTATAGCTTTCTCAGTGCTTGTACTGTTCCTAACTTCAACAGCATTTTTACCCTCTATACGAACTTATTCACAATTTTTTTTTGTATGGGTCTGTTTAGGTTACCTCATGTAAGGAACATTCGCTGCGATGTGATATTTGGCGCCTGGATCGAAGTCCTCTTCGCTTCGGATGTTCGGAGGCTGAACTCCTTGCACCTCTGACCTGGAGAACATTTCAGAATGACATCAATATTCACGTTCACGCTACGATGAATTCATAAGCTATTTTCTGTCCACTACTATGAGATGGGCATGCGCATGTTAAAATATCACCCTGTCCTTAGCTACTTCAAGGCAGGTGACTTCTTCAATTCTTGCATTGTACCCTCTGATGTTATGCCTTTTGCGTCAAAAGATTGTGTCAAAATGAAGATTGTACTTCAGTTACAATCCATAACTTATTTTGTGTATTAGTTTCCTCCCATCCATTCTAGGTCGTCTTATTTTCCTTTGGTAGCACATCAGGTGCCCACGGCTGGTGTACTTAATGTGCGTATATATACAGTTAACTACTGGAAAACCGCAAAAAGCGCCTAGATTTTCCGAGGCAATTGCTTCAGTTTCATTGAAGGTCAACCAGCACGGCTTTCCTATCAATTCAGTAAGGGCGAATAAGTACTTTTCAGTACCTTTATTGTTGTCGATCAATACTTCTGACGAAATATAGCACACTTGTGTCACGAGTCGAGTAGATTGATATGGCATGTCAAAACCAGTTCAGTACTTTTAGAATAAGATAAATATTAGGAAGCCATCAAAGCCACACCCTCAGTGTTTTCATCAGCGCTAGTTCCTTGTGCGTTGGAATACGCTGGATAGTTTCAGAGAAATTGCTGGAAGGTAGGAGGCATCAGTAGCCATGAATGTCATTCCATCTCAAATCAGCCAGATGCCAGAGCATGACCCCCTACTATATTGACGGAATTTTTTTTATGTGATACCCCTCATGGCCCAAAAGTAAAAATGCAAAATTTTGGCTTCTGGTATGGACCCGTTTTGGTGCAATACACTCGTAATTTGTTAAATTTAGTGATATTTAGAAAAATGGGAACCTCTTCTTGCTCATCTGGGCCGAAAACTTTTCGGCCTAAACGAACGCAACAAACACCATTGTTCTTTAAACCTGTGAGGGCCTAACCCGGACCTAGTCCGGCAATCTGCATAGCGTTACAAATAAAATGGAAAGGGTTAAAAAGGTTAGACATTTGAAGTTATTTCATATAATTTTTTACCTCGAGGCGATACTACAGGGTGACACAAAAGTTCTGTACACTTTAAAAAACTGTTCTCGATTCTAAACTACCACGTTCATATATGCTTGGCTTGGTTTTTACACGTAGCTTAAGGTACGCGCGACTTAGGGGATTCTCAAAGTGCTGATGAAACTATCAGTTTCGTCATGCCATTGTCCAATGAAGATCGTCGGTCGGCTGTGATCAGTTTGCACGAAGCTGGGNACACAGATGCCAGCTTCTGTGATGGTGTGGGCGGGTATCACTGCAGAGGGGCGCACGCCCCTGGTTTTTGTGCCGTCTGGCATGAAGATCGACGCGATTGCCTATCGTGACCTTATCCTGGAGGATACTGTAATGCCCTGGGCCAAAAAGCACTTCGGAAACCGCAAATGGACTCTGGACAGGACAAATGGACAGGACTCTGCGCCAGCCCACAAGGCAAAAATCACTCAGGCCTTCTGCAGAAAAGAATTCCCTGACTTCATCACCTCGGCAGAATGGCCTCCTTATAGTCCAGACCTGAACCCATTGGACTTTTGCGTGTGGAGCATCTTGGAGAGCAAAGCCTGTGCTACTCCCCGTGCATCTCTCGAATCCCTGAAGCGTGCCCTTCAAACGGAATGGATCAAAATCCCCCAGGAAACCCTGCGTGCCGCAGTCGATGCATTCCGAAAGAGACTTCGCGATTGTGTTACAGCAAAAGGTGGTCATTTTGAATGAATTTGCGGGCACTATCTGTTGAAATGGTTGTAGTTTCTAATAGCGTTGTCCCCATTTGTGAGTTCTTTAAAAATGGTTATAAAAAGTTGAGATAACCGAGTGTACAGAACTTTTGTGTCACCCTGTAAATGAAATAAAGCTGTCAAATTTGCTAATTTTTGGCATATTCAGAAATTTGCAAAACGTCAGCATGTTCATAAAACCTTATCATCATGTATGTTTTTGGAATCAGAAAAAAAAGATCTAATGATTTGTGCCCCATTTTGTCCAAAAAAAAAACTCCACTTAAAGAGATGTGATGGCTCGAAATATGCAAAGGTAAAAAATTTCGAAAAAAAAACACTGTTTTCAATTGCATGTTGCCATTTTCTATGCAGTTCAAAAAATTTGAAAAATTTGCAGAATGTCTGCCATTTACTTGAGTAAAAGATTAGAGGAATTTCAAAGCTCATAAGTTTTTTTAAACGCATACCACGCATTTTTTTGCAGACCCCACCTCACAATTTCTGCCACTGTTTTAAAGGCCAAATAACCATACGGTTTTCATTACCATTTCTTCAAATTTGTTTTCCCATAACTGCAATCAAAGGAAAAATTGTGGGCCTTAAAAAACCACGGAAGAAATTGTGAGATGATAATAAAATAAAATGTCTGAATAATTTGTTGGGACAAAAATGAGACTTACATCATTAGATCTTTTTCCGCTGATTCCAAAAATAAATATAATGGTAGGGTTTTATTAACATGTTGACGATTATTACATTTCTGAATATGCAAACTCATTATCACCTCGAGGAAAAAATTATATGAAATAACTTCGAAAGTCTAAACTTTTTAAAGAACAATGGTGTTTGCTGCGTCCGTTTACGCCGAAAAGTTTTCGGCCCATATGAGCATGAAGAGGAACGAAAGGAAGAGAACAAAATTTAACGAACTAATTTGCCGAAACGGGTCCATACCTGAAGCCAAAATTTTGCATTCTTACTTTAGCCCATGAGGGATACCACATAAAAAAATGTTCGTCAATATCGTAGGGGGTCATGCTCCAGCCTCTGGCTGAATTAAGATGGAATGACCCTGGAACGATATAGGCATATTACGGTCCCTGTTATTGTTACTCACATAATCTCGAGAAATCTCAGGACATTTCTCATCTAGTCTGGTATTGTAACATTTTAAGCAAAAAAAATCACTGCGGTGGAGTATCCCCGGCTGGAAAATAAAAAATGCGCTCGGACTCCCGAGCCCCATTCGAGGCAGTTCATCCAGTTCGATTCATTCGATTCGAATTCATCCAGACCGAGATAGGACCAGGTAACATGAGCCCTTGCCGGAGTGTCATTTCTTATTACCAGTCAAAAGCTGTCAACACAAAAGCTGCCTTTCTTTTGTCTCAAACCCGTTTTTTGGGGAAAGGGACAAGGTCCAAGTATGAGAAATTAGACTTTTGGTCTGTGGGATAGGAATTGGTCTTTTCTGGGACTAGATGGGATATATTCTTAGCACCTAATCTGAATTCCTGTCCTAGCAAGACCAAGAATGAGACAGGTTCATAGAGAATGTGAGAAACAGGAGCCAAGAAAGGCAATATACCCTGGAGGCTATGGATCTGTTTAGGCGCATGCTTTCTCATTTCCTGGCCATCCAGTTAATTTTTTTGTTTATTAAAAAGGTACATCAGCCTCTGATATGCACTCCGTCCCAAAAAAATGTTGGAACCTTTTTCAATTTTTAGCCACTCGTAATTGGTTCATGCTATCGTTGTGGGCTGACATGGGCTGACTAATGTATCAAATGAGCACAAGCATGCAAAGTTATAATAATATTCATTCGTTGGTTCTTGAAATATAGGAGGTGATTCAGAGAGTGCCGGCAATAAGGGAGTGCGGCCAGAACTGTACGGACGCATTATTCCAAATTCAGTATTGTGCCTCATACAGGATGGCTGACATGATGCGCACGACCAAGATTAATCTTTCCTGTTTGACACTCGGATGAGGTGCTCGAAGTTCCGCGGTGTCATTCTGTGAACAGACATGTGACATTAATCGAAACCCAAACGTTGCACGGTCAGCATGCTCCTATGACGGGGAAACGGTGACTTTCCTCTCGGGCTGACTGCTCGCGCCGAGTGCAGCGGGTGGCAATGGTCTGACGCAACATTACTAAGATTAAGCTGCTGCATCTACGAAATGGATCAATGAATTTGATACAAATTTGCGTGCATGTGCTCATTTAGTGTCTTGGTTAGCCCTCAAAAGCGCACAGCGATAGTCTGAACCAATTACGAGTAGCTACAAGTTGAAAAAGGTTCAACTTTTTTTTCGGACAGAGTGTACATCACCACATACTATTAAATAACCACATCTACCCTGCTATTGAAAGGTGCTCCACAAATGAGCCCATGGGTGAAATTGTCAACTAACTGCTTGGAAACATGTTTCATGCAAGTCCTTTTGGAGGATTTCAATCAACCACTAATGAGAAGTGACGCAAATATAGAAAACCTGAGTTTCCACCACTCGCAGTTGTAGTGGCTGGAGGAGATCTTGCCCCGGAAGACATTCCACCTCCAGACATCGATGAGATATCCGAACGGGAGAAAGGCCACCTTGGACAAGGCCTGTGACATGAGATAGTTCAGGTCTACCTCCGAGTCCTTCTTCCCTGCTGAGTCCGACAAGAGCCCGATCTTCACCATATGCTTCGGGGTCACCACCGATAGCGAAATCACATCTCCTACTGCTTCGTGGAAACCTACAGGGTGGGTCATGAATATTCACACCAAATCGAAGTCTTGTATTTCATGTTTTCCTGCATTTATAACTTCTCAAGGAATCAATTCAATTCTCAACAAGTTATAAGGGCTCACAGTCGATATGTCCCAGTTCTTCTTGATGGAAACCTAAATCTTTGAGTCGATCGTACTGGACGGACATGGTTTCACTCCTCTTTCGGCACGAACCTTTACTGGTTCAGGTCGCTGGATTTTGTTTATGGGCACTTGCTTCAGCAGACTTCGCATAAAATAATATGTTTGGTTACGGTCAAAGTTGTATGTGAGTCATTCGCATTCTTTGATCATTTCTGCATCATGGTCAGCCAGACAATTTTTTGAACCACAAGCCATTTCTAGGCGGAAGAAGATTCATCCTGAAAGTGCCAAGGTTGAGCCAAAGAAAAACTCACATAAAGGTACAAAAATATTTTCTTTCCTTGTTTTTAGGCGTACATAAATGGAAAAGTTACAAATGGTATGAATATGTATGGCAGACCCTTGACCAAAGAACCAAAGAAGGTGAATGTCTCTCTACTGCCCATGCGTCTCCATGTTATCCAGTCCCACTCCCATCCAGTGCTACTTTTCAGTCTAGTGAACTTCCAAGTTGACTCAGTTGAAATCGCTGAGTTCTCGAGAAGTAATAAATAAAAACATCTATTGATCTTAAGTTCATTCCTGCATTGCCTACTTTTAACAGAAATTGCGCAAATAGTTGGTCTATTCCTTCATGCTCCATAACCTGGGAGGCCATGGGATCAAACCACCCTGTCCGATCCATCGGTTTGGAAAAGCTTCATCCAAAAAAGCGAGCCCAAGTCCCCATGCCTGACCCCTATGGAATTTTTCCTTCGTGGGGACATGTTAAGAGCACTGTGCATGCCACGAGCCCACGAGGCGTGGCTGAATTTGCACACGCATTGGGATAGCAGTCCGGAATATCACACCTGCCCAATTTGAGGTAGTCCTGGATAAGTTCATAAGAAGGTTGCATACATGCGTTGACAATGATGGCAGACATGTAGAAGTGTGATATGGTGAGCCATAACAATTTTTTAGAGATAACCTTTCAAATGATGCCTTTTACTTATTTCTACCCCGCCCGCTTCCGAGATATACGACCATGAAACCCCTCAGGGACTTTACCCCAACCTGTATAAGTATATTTAAGCAGTTACACATATTACATGTGCTATCAATCAAAATTAGTCTCACTCATTAAGAAACTTTTTTTCAGTATTTAACTGACCTGGATTGGCTCCGTCCCGAAAGGCGATGTGAAGGTCCTTGTACTGAATGTAGTACTCAACATGTCCCATCTCGTGATGGACCGTCACGAAGTCCTCCATTGTCATGTCCGTGCACTGTTTGATTCTGTTATATCAATTATTTCAAAAGCCATCGTCACCTCAGATTTTCCTTTCTTTCAGAAATAGGTTTGCACATCTTTCACCCCTTGCCATGATTAGTTTAATACAGAGTGTCCCACATATCTCTGACACATTTGCCTTTTTAATTAATCAAGAATGGATAATGTATTCGACCTGAACTTTTGGGAAAATTTAATAGAAACTTTGGAAATTATATTCCAACCCCAGAATTCACACAGTATTGCTTTTTGTTCGGTAAATATTAATATAATTTTTCCAAATGCCCTCAATTCTGATTGATTCATTCTCTGATTCAAACCAAAGCATTATTCATTACTGCCTGCGATGTGTATCTCTCAATGAAAGTGACAACTTTCCTAATTCTGTTCTTTAGCCCATCAGCAATCCTTGGTTTTGTGTGAAACTCATTGCTTTTTAGGAAGCATCATAGAAAATATATATAAGGGGCTGCCAAGTCTGGGTAGTGTGCTGATCATGGGACCATAGAGTAGCACGAAATCCTGAATGATTCATTTACCAAAATTCCTTCCTCCCCAAACTTTGCAGTCTCTGATATTTTTCTCTGGTGCTTCCTGAAATATGTACCAATATGTCCCTCACAAATCCAAGGAATGCTGGTGACCTAAAGAATAGAACTAGGAAAATTATCACCACCATTGAGAGGGACACATTACAGACAGTAATGAGCAATGCTTTGGTTTGATGCAGGGAGTGCATCAATCAGAATGTAGGGCATGTGGAGAAATTGTATTTACCTAACATGAAGCAATACAGTGGTAATTCTGGGGGTTTGAACATAATTTCCAAGGTTTCTTTTAAATTTTCCCAAAATTTTAGGTTAATACATTATCCATTCTTGATTAACTAAAAAAAAACAAATGTGTCAGAGATATATGGGACACACTGTACGAAGCCAGAGTTGGAAATTCACTCTCATCAAGCACACTTTTTACCATGTCCCAAGTAATTGGTCGCCAACCTTTCACTAATTTCGGGCCGGATATATAATTGATTGTGATGCTGATACACCCGGAGGAGAGGGTATGAGGTTTGAAAAGAATAGTGACAAATCAAATAAAACTCTTTTCTTGGCGAGTTTGGCGGACCGGATGAAATCGCTACGCGGGCCGGATACGGGCCGTGGGCCGTAGGCTGCTGACCCATGTCCCAAGCGATTACTTCATTTAATGGATTAGATTCAGCCACAGAAAACAACAATGTCGTCAGTACCAACAGTAACCGACGAGTCAAACGGTTCCCTGTTTTCCTTCTAAGCAGAGGCTGAAAACCCTTCGATTCTCTGGAAGTTTATCGATGGTGATTGGAAATATTTTCAAACCTATCCAAGTGTCTCCTTTTTTTGCTTTTCCTAAATGCAGAATATGCAATAATAATTTTTTAAAAATTGCAATTAGGCAAACAAACATGAAAAACTGAAGTATGATTGAGACTGCTCATAGTATGTACTCAAACGATCTCATTTCCACTTCCCGTTTTTCTTGTTTTCATCAAGAAAATAGCGAAGAGAGAAGAAAGGAATAACCTGAAGTCCTTGGAATCGCAAAAGTCCCAAGCAGAGGCATGACAGACAATCGTCCGGTCTTTTGGTTTCTCTATGATGGAGAGATTCCAAAATTTCTCCGGCATCGGACTTAATCCCATAGACGTGAAGAATTCCTCGGATACTCGGAACATCCTCTCTGCCGTATAGTTCTAAGTAATCAAATATAAATCACATTGAATTTTTTTTTCAAATATTAAAACTTCCAAGGAGGTACGCAAAAATCCAGATTTTCTAAGAATGAGAATGTTGGATGTAAGTATGCACATCATGGTTCTGCTTTATATTTTATTTTTCATTATGTGTTTAGATGAATTAAGGAAATCCGTCATTATGACCTGCTCTCGGAGTGCGGGTGCGATATCAAGAGATGGTTTGTTCTTGCAGGGCAGGAACAGGTCCTTCACGTTGCTCCAGTCTTGGGCCCACATATCACCTAGTCAACACATGTAGAGATTGACGAAAATATTCAGCGACCTTGCAACACACTCCTTTTGTAACTCAGTCGTGGATGAAGCAAAAAATCAAATAACGTACCTCAAGAACGCCTGAGGAAATTTCTAAATGAAAGTAGAACCTCTTGTTTGGAAACCAAGAAATGATGCAGGATATGCTGATATTGCAGGACTGCTAAGCGAAATCCCTGTCAGATTGCTTAACAATTGCCAATTTTGATTCTTTGCAGTAATTCATAATCCTTCCATTTCATTCTGCTTGGTTTTTGCTTTTAGAACTCTTATAATTTGTTGAATTATAAACAAATATCATTGTCTCTTTCCTCTTGAATCAAAGAGAAAAGAGACAGAATCTGCTCGATCAAAGAAAAAAAGCAAGCACAATGAGATCAATGGATGTGAGACAACCGCTTTCAGGCACACGATAAATGAAAAGCCATGATTGTGTCGTGAACATCAAAACCCAGTTCAACCTCCCAACAAAATAATTCAACTACTTGTATCCTCAGTCTACCCGAAGTATACCCGAGCCTCCTCTAACATCTGTGCCGAGCACACAGGAATTCAAGAGATATGCTGTCTGAGTTCCGCGAAGGAGGGCCTTATCTACTAACTAAACCCATGTGTTCTGAAAAGTCTCCTTCAGAAAACACATCATTTCTTCAACTCAAAAATAATGCCTGATATGTTTGCTTTCGAAGAAGAAACCTCCGTCCCTTTAGCAAACCTTGCTAGAAACCTAGTTTATTACAAACTCCTTACGCACAAAACTTTTTTGTCCCTATTATGAAACTTGGGATGTGCCAAAAGATGTGCCGAATTTCTGACACGTACGTTGTGTCAAAAGGTCTATGTGAACTGCATTATTTCAGCATTGCTGCGCAGATTAGCCGACTGTCGTTGGTCGACATCAGGTTACCAAAGGTTACCTGCTGTTGACCTGAGGTCAACAAGCAGGTAAGCCATCCCATTCGGCACAACAATGTTGTGTCAACGTTGAAAAAAGGTTGATGGCAAATGTTGCCTCAATGTTGAGAAAAGGTTGACTTTTCAACGTAACATGTTGCCATGATGTTGCCACAATTGCTCCCATAATTTGCTCCTAATAGCCTCTGAACGACTTCCCTAATTCACAAGTAGTCACCAAATGCTGAAAATACGGTTCTGTGACCTGGTTCCAAGGTGAGGTCGCAGCGAGACTTGTCCTTGTAATCACAGATCGTTGCTTTGCTATAAATTTCCTCCATCTCAGTCTGCAGCTCTCCCAGCTAAGAACATTGACGAAAATCCGCAAGTGAATTCAAGAATTTCGATTTCTTTTCAGCAATGTTATTCCTTGAAATTCAATAAGAACACCATGAACAGCATGACAATTTGAGGATCATTTTCAGCCAAATTATCTGCTTTGCACCTGAAAAAAAGCCCATGTTTGCGCTCGAATGCAAGGCCTCCTTCCTGCAATGGGAAGTGAAAATTTGGCTTGTTTAGAGAGAAAAAGAATAGGATGGGAGAGAGGGGAATGTTGCTAAGCCCCTGCAAGATACGAAGGAAGGAAAGACCCTTCGTTTGATTGCTTGTCTATCTTTCAGTTAAAAAATGGATCATGGTATACCTCTGGCAATTCTGTTAAAATAAAGCTCAATTCTGAAGTATTATTGAAATATTTTTGAATGCCGAATCCTTTCAAGCGAATGTGGAAAAAGATTGATTGTGAAACAAGGGGCAAGCAAGAAAAAATTTTTTTTAGGAAGTAGTGAGACAGCGGTGTGCTGGCGCCTCGCATCCCCCATGAACGGGAAGAGAGGTCTAGACAGGAAAAAAAAAAGAGAGAGAAAGGAGGATCACGCTTCGTACAGTATGCTGGCCATTTCAGGCACAACTGGGAAAAATCCTACCATTCCTACCTAATTCTACCGGTTCACCTGGAAAGGCGATGTAGGTGTCATCAGGTTATTCCATCACACCATTGACTCGTGATTCCATCACACCATGGAAAGCAGCTCGTGATCGTAGACGAGGAAGGAGGCATACAGGAGAAACGCGGTCGATTGCTGCATGATATTTCAACATGGCCTCAGCCAAGTCGTTCTTGGTCAGAGGAGACTCAACACATTCGCACATGATTCGGCAGCCATTTTTCATAGTCGTCTCGAAATATATTATCCTCGTTCTGAGGATACTCGGTCCAAGGGGGTTGAACTAATTCTTTATCCCGATTGGGTCCTTTTTCTAAGTCTCGGAGATGCAAAAGACCTTAGAAAGTGCCTTCGTTCTTGGGAGAGAATGAGGGAAGGAAATATTGAAAGCCTCTCTGTCTATTAACTTGTATGTATTTGATCCTTTGAGCTCTCCCCTCGTTGCGTAGGATAATTCGGATTCCTTATAAAGTTTTATGACTCTGATTCATTAATCTCAAGCGTGTGAATTTTTGTTTCTTGTCTCCATTTTAATGCCCCCAAAATTAACAACTGTACCGAAAGACATTTATCCGCACCCATGTTTTCATAAGGAATGGCTTCAGGGGACAAGAGACAGGTTGAGCGGCGACGTGCCGAGAGGACACGCAGGAGGGGGAAGCGAAAGCGGAGTATTTGATGAAAAAAAAAGGGGCGTCATAGGGACAAGTAAAAACATCAACAGCGATAGGCGCCAGTTGAAGTCGCGTCGGTCCTCTTCCATCCTTTTCACTCACAGACACACACATTCACGAGCACGCATAAGTCTGTGCGAGGCGGGAGGGAAGTCAAAGAGGGAAGAGCTGCGCGCGAGCATTCAAGTTTTCATGCAAATCGGTAATTAAAGCCTCGCATTCTCTATCCCTTTGAAGACAGTAAGCAATCTTGGTGTCATTGGATCTGTGAAACATCCCTTTATGGGATAGGCACAAAAAATCCTGCGTTCTGGCCGGTGAGAAGAGAAAATTGACCCGGAATGGAAGAAATGACCTAAATCGTCAAAAGTGGCCGCAGGAAAAATAGATAGGCTTCTAGGATAGTGGACGGATTCTCATGAAAATTTATATTAAGTTAGCTAAGAGACTTTTAAAGAGATCTACAAGAGGAATTTTTTTAATTCAACATCGTTTTCGAGTATTGTCTGTCAACGTCACGTCCCTTCACTGAGGGGGAACGGTTGGAGGAAACCATGCGCAACTCCGCAAAAAGATGAAACATATTAGCCTCCAAAAACTGGAGCATGCATTTGCCGATAGAAAATTTCTACGAGGAATGAGAGCGAAGAAACAGAATCCGAAAGCAGAAAAATTCTCGGTTATGACGTCATGGCGTCTCGGGAACGACAGTTGCATACGTGTATTTATGTATTTTTCCATTTAGCACCGTATGCCTCAAGGAGAATGGTGCAAATTTGACGTTTCTGCGACAAAGGGTTGGGGAGATGGAGATTTTCAAAGAAAAGCATGCAAATTTTTACCTATGACCACAGATTATAGCCCCGGGGGTGACCTGAGAGAGCCAGCAATCGGCTCTAAGGCCCTTTCTTGAGGTCCCCTACAACAATTATAGAGCGGAATTTCGATCCAGGAGGGTCGATATTTATCTTCCCGTAGTACCTTAAGACAGGAACGGAATTAGTCCCGGGTCATCGGAGATACAAGGGTCCAAAGGCCCTCCTTGGCAAAATTTTTCACGTCGAAGGGGTGGAGTGACAAGGCAGCACAGTTGAGCTATGATGAAGCGAAATGGAAAAATGTGTATTTTCCGTGCTCTTCAGTACTGCCATCAACTTGCAAACATGAAGTCCTCTTTCCGTTTTGAAATGGAGCAGCTTTTATGGAGAATAAATTTTGACGTACCACTGCTCTCAGATTTAAATCGTTCCTCATATGAGTGCCCACTTCAGAGCATTCAGGGCTACAACACGAACAATTATAGGAGTCTAAGTATTATAGCAAACATTGATATTTTAAACAAGGATTTTTAATCGAGAAAGGGTTACATTTTTCAAATTTTACTCAACATTTTCTGTAAAATCCAGACACCAGTATCTAGTGGAATATCGTCCTTTTAAAAAACGGAAGCATATGAAACGAAGATAGGAAAGAGAGAATACAAGCGAGCACGTAGTTACGACTGGACCAATTTTGATTCCGAGAGAGAATGCGAGATTGCTTGCTAAAGCCAGATGCAAAATGGCCAGACACTTCCGCCCTCAAGCTCCACATGCGTGGGGGCTTCATCGCACTACAGAATGCAATGCCGGCTCTCATGCCTGCCGGTTCTCATGGTTCCAGCAATTTCATTCTTTCCTCCATCGGAATAACGGAATTGCTTCGTGTGGAACAGCGAGCTGGAAAAACAAGAGACGCGAGGACGTCTGCCCGTTTCGAAACCGAACCTAAATAGCGGAATTTAAAAAAAAGCAAGGGTCAGTCAGCCTAAACTGGAAAGAATCCCACTGCAATGAGAATCCGTCTATGCGGGTCACGTGCGCCTCTTTGTCTTTGGGGTCAAGAGGACGCACTCTGAGGGTTCCGCATTCAGGACTAAAACGGAGGAAAGATTCACCCGTGTGAATTTGTCATCCGGGAGAGCAGCCGTTCCGAGGATGGAGAGAGATTTGAAGAGCCGCTTCAACTCCGGGTCGCGAAATTTTTTCCATTGGAACGAGGTCACGTTCTTCCATGCTTCTTTCGCATAGCGCGCAGATACCAGGCTCTCCGCCAACTGGAGAATGGAAAAAATTCACATGATATTGACAAAAAATGCACTCAACACTCAAAACGGATTACTGACTCTCGGTCCACCATTGTGAAGGCAAGAGTTATTTCTGCCCTATATATCATATATTTTTTCTTATCTCATGCTTATGTAAGAGCATCCATAGATACATGAGGTTGCACATGCCCTATTGTTCTTGGCTCATCTTCATAGATCCATACTTCAAGAGGGAGAATATTTCCATTAGTTATCAGGACGTTCCTGTCTTCCAGGAACGTCCGGAAAGGGAAAAAATATTAAAGGGGATGAAATAATATTTTGTCAAATCTACAGTATTTCACGATGACAATAAGAAGAAAGCCAGTCTTACACATAGTCATCCGTCATAATTTTACGGAATTGGAGAGAAAGGTATTTTTTTCATTACCATTATCAAAAATACTCACCACAGCCTGACGATTCGCTTCGGTTAGATCTGTGGCGTAGGCCCAATTGACTAGAGCGTTTCGATTGCATACTTCTGACGCTTCCACGTTATAGTCTTTCATGTAAGACCAAGCCGCAGCCTCGTTCAAGGCATTCGGATTCGCGAACTCTTCATCACTATCACCGGAAGTCGCCAGAGATCCGACGAGACACAAGAGAAAACTCGTCACTCGCATCGTTCTTCACCCAGTGCGATCGCCTGACCGACTGACGCGTCTGCCCTTCGCGCGGAGGGAGAGGGCCCCGCGGGACCTTCCACTTGGACTGCGGGACCTTTACGTCTCAGCGTTTCCCTATCGACCATACATCTCTGCGGGATGGAGGGGACAGCCCCGATGGCACCTCTATTCCTGCTGGCACTGCAGCAACGCTGCGATGAGATAGGGAAAATAATGGTGAGATTACTATGAAATGAAGTAATGTGAAAACCAATTTTCAATGGCTTTCCTTTCTACAAACGGCCCCCCCCCCCCCCCCTCTCCTGTACGGGACTCATTAACGTTAGGCCTAGGCCTGACCAACATATTGCCTTCTGTTCACGCCAAGGCCTACATTTTATTTTCAAAAGAAACTCAATTCTCGACTAATGAGGACAATTAAGCCTATAAAGGCGAATCAGTGGTCTTGAGACATCTCGTGGAGGACGTATAACGTTATGCCAATCGCAAGCCTATTCATAACTTCACGAACCATTTCAGAGAGGACGTGTAACGTTAGACTAATGTGAGACTTGTTTCTCGTTTCATGGACCAATTAAGTGGGGACATGGAACGTTAGTATGGAGTTCCTTGAGCAATCTCGAATAGGTCTGAGAAGGGAATGCCTCCAAGAAGCATGTAATCACTCCATCACCAAAGAGTAAAATTGCTCTCCTCCTCCGTGCGTAAAAACGCTCCCATCAGAAAGTGATAGGGATGTCATGCAAATACGAATATTCTTAAATATACTGTGTGTCGCTTCTGCTCTCGTACAGACGTTGATCTACCTCTGGCCGTACTGATTACAGCACACGTCAGAGAGTGAACCACCTCTTGCAGGTTCCATGGAGTATCCAGAATATCAATCCCTTATTACCTCATTTAATTGAGGTATGACCGAATGAAGTTCACGGACACTCTCTGTATATTCTCGATCTCCTATGTGGATAAAGTCATTTGTGTTCCAAAAGGGATCTCAATAGGAATATGAGCTTCTTTATGGCCTGGACTCTATGAATATGTCTTGAATATGTGGATAACAAATGATGAAGTGTTCGTGTTTATTGATTCCTATAAGGAGACTAGGCGAGACATTTGGCAAGGTACTAAACAATCCTGC